GAGAGGAGAGAGGCATGTGAGTGCTGTGTGGGGGTTCATGCCTCTGTGTGCACACCCCTTCTTTGCCTCTATTAACTGCAGCTCAGTGAGGCCACACACCACTATGAGAGGCAGGGGCCTGAAATCTAGTTGGCCAGTCACATAACTGACTCTTCCATTGCAATGGGAGAAATGAAATGTATTTTGGTGGATAGCTGAGAGTCTCTGCCACAGATTCAGAGCATCAATAATTTGGAGGATTAAAGATGAGAAAGAATGACTCTCCTGAGGCAGGAAGAACGGTAAGTGCAACTGGGTAGTTAAATCTCATCAAGCCTCTCTTCCTTAAGCTGATGAACAAAATTTATTTTTTTTTCCTTTTTAATTTTTGAGACAGAGCCCTACTATGTTGCCCTCAGTAGAGTGCCATGATGTCACAGCTCATAGCAACCTCAACCTCTTGGGCTTGAGTGATTCTCTTGCCTCAGCCTCCCAAGTAGCTGGGACTACAGGTGCCCACAACAACATTTGGCCATTTTTTTGTTGCAGTTGTCATTGTTGTTTAGCAGGCCTGGGTTCAAACCTGCCAGCCCTGGTGTATGTGGCCGGTACCCTAACCACTGAGATATAGGTGCTGAGCCTCAGGTGATTTCATAAATTTTTTTCTGTCATTTAAATCTTGGTGGTTCTGGAAGCTAACATTCAACAGGTATTGTGTTCAGCTGCAGCAAAGTGTACACATAGGCAATGGGGCAAGATAACTTACATTATGTGTATAGAGTGAGTCTTGAATAATCACTGGATTGCACTAGAGATTTAAAAAAAAGAAAATGGCAAATATTGAACAAGTGTCTGCCTGTGGTTGTTAATTTTATGTGTCAACTGAATAAGAAATTCATAGCTGATAAGACATCATTTCAGGGTGTGTCCACGAGGGTGTTTCTTAAAGAGAATAACATTTGAATAGTCTAGAAAGATACACCCTCACTGAAAGGGCATATCCTGTCTATGGAGGGCCTGGATAGAACACAAAGGCTAAAGAATGGCAAATACATTTTCTCAATTTCTCTTTCTGAGCTGCAATATCCATGTTCTCCTGCTCTTGGGTATCAGAGCTCTCATTTCTCAGGACTTTGAATGGACTTGGACTAAATTACACCATCAACTCTCCCAGTTGATATGCTTGGAGATAGCATATCATGGGATTTCTTAGTCTCTATAATAGTGGGAGCTAATTCCCATAATAAATCTTTATATATATATGATATATGTGTCATATTGGCTCTTTTTTCTGGAGAACCCTGACTAACATATTATTACATACTGGAAAATCTAACAGACACTGTGGAGGATGCAAAGAATTTAACTCATTCTCTTAGGGAATAGAGTATGTGGTACAGATGCTCCTTAACTATGATGGGTCTGTGTCCTGATAAACCCATTATAAACTCAAAATAGCATAAAGTGAAATGCATTTAATATACTCAACCCACTAATCATCATAGCTCAGCCTAGCCTACCTTAAACATTCTCAGAACACTTAAATTAGCATATTAGCATATAGTTGGACAAAATCATCTAACACAAAGTCTGTTTAAAATAGAGTGTTGAATATCTCACGTAATTTATTGCATACTGTACTGAGAGCGAAACAGAATGGTTGTTCGGGTACTCAAAGTACAATTTATACCAAATGTGTATCGCTTTCATACCATCATAAAGTGGAAAAAACACTAAATCAAACCACTGAAGTAGGACACTATTTGCATTTATGGGACAGCTGAGTTGGGTGAAGAGAAGGAAAGATTAAAAATCAAGAAGAATGAGATACATTGTCAGAGTTCCCGACTTCAAAATATGGGGCAAGAGATGTGGTGAATGTTAAATTATTTCTGAAATTTTTAATGCTATTTTTCTAAAGGAAAAAGAAATCTTTTATAGGAGCTTGTTTTCCTAGTGATTTATCTTTTGCAATTGGCAATATTAAACTGTCATTCATAGAAAGTTCTGATTAATTAACTTTGGCTTAATTAGAGTTTTATTGCAAGTAAACATGCATGAGTTCATCCTTTATTTTATAGGCCAGTTAATTGATTTATGATTCTTTATCAAGTAAAATCAGACCTGTAGGAAATCAAGTTATTCCACACAACTTACCAGTTTCTATAAAAATATATTCTCAGGTGCTATAATCATTTGGAAATTTTTGCCAAATGTGGTGGTCTACTTCAAGTAATTCTTATCCAGTCATATTTTTAACATATTCCAGGACTTTCAGATATATATTGGCTCTATACTGACTTTACATTTCTATAGTTTTAATTTTTTAAATTTTGTGTTCATAGATGAATTACTATCCTAGGTATTTTGGAGAAAGAGAATTTCCACATTTTCCTGTTTAGTTGTGGCTTCTGGTAATTATTATTGTTGTCTCAAATACCTACTTAAATTTACCTTTCCTATATAACACAAGACCTGGGACCAGGAGTCAGGAGAAATGTATTTTGGTTGGGTTTACTACTTACTACTTGGCACGTCCTCTACCCTCATTGAGGACTTGAGTTTGTCAAATGAGGGAATAGAAAATACAATGTAGGTTGCATTCACTTTGAAATGTTACTGTTCTACGAGTTAATATTGGGCTGATCAGTTTTCTTTATTTGGTTATAAACCTACCTGTATAATTTGAAATTTTAAAAAGTTCTCTTGTTTTCATTTCTGAACAATTTGTGTTTGGGTGCAATATTACCTTACATGGATGTCCTTCACCTCAATGACAGTACTTAAAGGCAAAAATGGTTTTATGGAAAACTGCATATTTACTTATTTAAGTGAGGTCTGATTTATACTGTGCCACATCCCATAACTAACAATTATATAGGCTTTGGAATGAAAGTATGACTTGGAAAGATATGTGGCATATGTTCTACTCCCATTTTAAAATGTGCCTATGGAAAACTTAAACAAAAATTCTACAAACTCTACTAAAATCTCAGAGTTGTACAAACCAATGTATGGGGTTTTTTTTTTTTTTTTGTATAGAAGTTATGTTTAGATCTCTCTTTTGAACAGCAGATAATTTTAAATCACCTTTCATGATGTAGTAATGATAACAACAATCACAACGGCTGCTCACATTTATAGAGTTCTTACTGAATGCCAGGCTGTGTACCAAGTGCTTTATGTGAATTACCCTTGTATCTACAGTCTCCTTAGCCAAGCTGCCCTATTTAATATGTAGGTAAGGAAATCCTTAATACTAAATTGGTATCAAACACACTAACCACACATACACAAAACAAAAGAATCAAGGAAAACAGAACCTTAAAAAAAAAAAAAAACTACCCCGAAGTCATGTGACAGATCTAGCAAATTCTTTTTATTTACATAGAAATGTGTACACATACTTTCTCTGTACACAGAAAATTCTAAGTATATATACATATATGGTTCCCACATATTTTACAATAAGTAATATTTTACTCTTGTTTCTAGATGAAAACAAAAAGATGTCTCAAAATATTACTCACCAACCACAAAGTTACAAAAGCACTCGATGAACTCAGAGCAAACACTTCAAGCCTGTACTACCACACACTAAGCCTAGGACAATTTTTACAGAAGACAAAATTGAGCACTGTGCAGGTATTACCAACAAAAGGAAAGGAACAGAGATGTAAGATAGAGAATAGAGCTGTTGGCTTTTGAACAGTGGTAAGAGCGTGTTTGTAGCTGAGGACTTAGCTTCCTTTAGTTTTCAATTTAATGTTTTACTTTCATTGATATTTTACAGATAAGATGGGGAAAGAAAAGAGTGACCATTCATAAGTGTCCTGAGTTCCAGAAGCCTTCTTCCTGGCAACCCAGACCCTGTTCTGTGCTAATTCAATGATCATCCAGTTCTACCACACAGGATTACTGTGCCCCCCTCAGAGAAGATGAGAAGGGTCCTAATAGTGAAGTGATATTAATTTGGAAGTAATTTCAAAAGCCTGGTAAGCCAGGTATATTAATTAGCAGAACTTAATAATTAGAAATGTTTAGATATAATTCTTAATTTCCACAGAGATTGTGATTTTTTCATTCAAATAATTAACTAAATTCATTAATCTGGAGGCTAGAAATAATGAATCCATAGTCTGGAATTTCCTCCCTCCACTTCTAATTTTTTTCTCATTGTAGCCTAGGAAACAATTTCAGAGTTATTCTACACATGCTATAAAACCACACTATCAAATGAACAGAATTAGATTCTAAACTATAGGGTGAATACAAATTTTACATCATTTCTTGTAATCTCACAGCATCAAATTTAGCAAGAGACTAAAAACATTCATTATTGTTGAACCGACTTATGCCCTGATTTGTTTGGCCAATTCACCAGTATTAGGATTCAGATGATAGTTATAAAGATGGTGACAAACAGAGCTAATTGCATAAACCACATTCCACTCAACACTAGCTCAGATGACAATGTACTCGATTCCATGGTGACACTGAAACGTCACACACAAGTTTTAAAGCAAATTTTACGCTTTTATCTCTCATATCAATAGCAGCACAGATACGGGGGGAAAGACAGTAATAAAAAAAGAATCTGATGTCAGAAACAATTTGTCTTTCAAATACAATTTTTTCAGATCCTTTACTGGATCCTTTATTGGATCTGCTATTTTAAGGTTATCTTCCAGAACATATTTCAGAGGCAGGCTCATTTCAAGAGCAAAATTTATTACATGCATATTCCAGTTCCTTCTCATCACATGTGGCTACCACTGATGTTTCTTCAAAAGAAACAATATTTCTAGAACTTAGCCATCTCACATGAAAGTGATGGTTTCATAAATAGTTTGACTCTTTAAACAAACACATTTCACATTTAAAGATGTTTCTTATCCTTTTTTGGTAAATTTGAAACCTGATAAGGAACTATAGTTCACTGCCAGAAATAAAAGGGATCCTGTAGCATGAAGAGCTGGGCTTGTTTCTTGGTCATTCTAATTAAATATATATATATATATATATAGCCCTCGTTTCCATCACTGTGGCAAGATCAGCCAGAAGACAAGTATGGGGTCTCACTATGGTAGTTGTAGTCAGGACAGACCTTTTGCACAAGTTTATAGTCGACACTGTAAAAGGCAATGTAAATGCAAATGACCTTGAAGGGCTTAGAGCACAACCAAGACACGTGGCTCTGAGTCTGCTCCTGGTAGCAGATCTTGGATGGGTCAAAGTTGCACAGGGCGGTCTTCTTTGCCCGATCTGTTTTTTCATACTCAATGCGACAATTGAAAGATTTGGATTCCTTTGTCTCCAAGGTAGACTGGGGGGAAACTTCAAATTCTACCACCTTGGAGGGGGGTACCAAGCTCACAGAAACATTGCCCAGACCTGTTGAATTATGTCGGAAATAAACACTGAAGGTTCCATTTCCATGGTCGACAATTTTCCCTGTGATGAGGAGATTGAGTTTGACAGTCTTAATGTTGGAATGAAAGTCACCCCATCCAAACATTTTCTTAAATTTTCCTGTTTTTACGATTGGCCGTCGTTTAGTTCTTGCCAGTGGCTCCTGAATCTCCGTGATGTTGGCCAGCCAATCCCAAAAGTTTTCCATGTTGTCTGCATAGGTCATGGAACCCGGCTTGGGCACTGGAGACTGTTTCACAAACAGGCGCAGAGGACTGATGATCCTGGAGTGCACCACATTGCCCACCAGTGTCCCTTGTGCATCTTTGTCATCCCAATCCAGCCCTTCTGTGGCATGTACCACTTCTTTACTGTCACAAAACAGCTGTTTGGAAAGAAGAAAGAGAAATAAACTTTAGGTTAAGCTTTGAGGGTGCACAGAGACTGCAGTCCATGCACAGGGAGAAATTCATTCAGTGTTACTGACATTCTTGCTAAACAGCATTTCACATACACACACACACACACACAGGTAAGCTCAGCAGTGTTAAGAAGATGAACATTTAATTTAAATGATGAAAAACTATAAAAATTAAACTGATAAGGTTAAGAACACAGTATTCCATCTTAATGGTTTGATGTTTTTTGTCCCTGTTTCTTAATCTTCGCAATTCTATTTTTTCAGATTGAGGGAAGTAGCATATTTTGGATTTTCATTTGATAAAACCATAAAATTTGTTAAAGTTTTTACTTTCAAGTAGAATACAACTCTAGAATGCTGAATATTTCTGCCAAGAAGCCAGAAACTATCTGACTATCATATTAATAACTCTCTTAAGTATATTCGGAAATATTAAGAGTATTATTAGATTCAAAAGCATGTAACATACAATTTCATAACTTTTGATATAATTCCATCCTAAACTCTGTAACAAAGAAGGTATTAGTATTGGGAAGTTCTACAAGAAGTTACAGTTGAAAAATATAAGTAAAAATTTAGTTGTCTTTATAGAAACAATGCAGAAAAGCATATTTTAAATTAATTAATAGGCTACATGCGATTTAATGAATTACATTATAACTGAATATTATCCTAAAAGATAGAAATGCTAAGAAAGTAGTATCTGCATGTGCTTTATGGGTTCCACAGTATTTTGTTTCAAATTGAAGCCACTGAAACATAGGATTTGGGGCATTTTTGCATTTGATTTTCCTTTTTATTCTTTCTATAGTACAAGAGTTCCCATGGTTTCTAAAAATCATTTTGTTAAGTAAACATGGATGTTGAAGAACAGAATAGTTATATGTGAAACCACTGCCTGGAGTTGAATATTTATGGATGAGTTATAAAGTCTGGAAAATAGAGGTTTCTAGTGGAACGCAGATAGCCTCTTATCTCTAATGGTACAAACCACTCTTGTAATGATTCTACAGAAAACTGTCAGCATGATGAAAAGGATGAGGAGAGAAATGAGACTATGTTTATGTGCTGTTTCGCCACCAGTTCAAACTTTGCAAAGCACTTGGTAAAACCTGTCTCAGATTATTCTAAAAATTATTGCTTTTAATCCAATTTTGAAAAAGAAAAAGATATAACCTGTATTATAAATATTGTACCCAACCCTATGGTATAGTTTGATAACATGAAATTATCTTCTGCATGTTCATAAAAGTTCATTTGTTTATTTATTTGACAGAGTCTCACTCTGTCACCCTGGATAGAGGGCCATGGCACACAGGTCACAGCCACCTCAAACTCCTGGGTTTCAACAATCCTCTTGACTCAGCCTCCCATGTAACTGGGACTACAGTCTCTTGACATAATGCCCAGCTAGTTTTTCTATTTTTAGTATAAATGGAGTTTTGCTCTTGCCAAGGCTGGTCTCAAACTCTTGAGCTCAGATGATCTACTTGCCATGGCCTCCCAACGTGCTAGGGGCACAGGCATGAGCCATGGGCCTGGTGTTCATAAATGTTTAGAAGTTTAAAGCCTAACAGAGCTCTGTGTAAAGTGTTTTCACCTACATCTAGTTCTGAGATCATTTAAAGCAGGAATCCGAGGACTCAAAATGAAATTATTGGTAGGTTTTTGTTTCTTTTTGGCTATAGTTGTTTTTGCCAAGGGTGTGTGCGTGTGATTAAGTAATATACTTCTTCCTTGGACTAATTTCCTAAAGGCTTTTCTTCCTCATTTCTGGAGTTTTTAATAATTATTTTTTATTCAATTAAATTATTGAAGCTAATAGAAGAGCAAATTGATATGATGCACATTTTTACCTTTTTGAGAACTTAAATCCATATTACCTCTCCTTAAGGGCTTAAACATCCTGAATTGATATTTCTTTCTCTCTCCTGGTACTCAAGGGCCAGCATGTTCACCAGGTTGAGAGGGATCATTACTCTGGATTTATGGCTTAAAATATTTCTGATACTGTAACTCCCATATAGCACCTTAATTATAAGGTACACAAACTTCATTCTAATCAGCTGGTCATACCCCATGGAGTTCACTACCCTACATCCACTTCTGATTTCAGTCTCCTGAGAATGGAGGCAGCGTGGTCCAAGGGACGTGTCCTGGACTCGCTCCAGAGAAAGGGCCATGGACATAGGGGGCAGAAAAGAAGCTGCTTGCTGACCAAGGTCTGTTCCTCTTCTCTGGGATCATGATTCTGGCTGCACAGAGTCTATTACTATTTTTCACCTGTTTCCTATGTTTCATGAGATTTGCCTTGTTGGGTCAAGGCTGACAGACACACCTACCATTTGCTGAGCAACTGGTGTACAAGAAATGCTCTTTCTTTTCCTAATCTATTTGTCTGATCCTATACAGCTCACTCCCCCTTTCTTTTCTTTTATGGGGTACATCCCTTCTAACTTTTTTCCCTATAAACTTTGTTTTTTAAAAAAATCTTGATTCTTACTTTTATGTATCATGCTACCAATAAATTCTTTATTAGCAGAAATATTAACAAAATACATTTGCCATTCAAATTTTTTTCAACCAACCCCTATGTTTGTTTTATATCATTTTCCTGAATTTTTCTCTAACTTCATAATTTTTCCTAATCTAGTGCTTTGCCCAAAAAGTGAATCCTCACTCTTTCATTATAAAAACCTATAAACATTGAACTCATCATTCAACAACAAATAAGTTTGCAGGGCAGCACCTGTGGCTCAGTGCATAGGGCACTGGCCTCATATACTGAGGGTGGCAGGTTCGAACACTGCCCTCGCCAAACAGCAACAAAAAAATAGCAGTGTGTCGTGGTGGGCTAGTAGCTTATAGTCCCAGCTACTCAGGAGGCTGAGTCAGAAGAATTGCCTAGGCCCAAGAACCTAGGGAGGCTCTACCAAGGGTGATAAAGTGAGACTCTATCTCTAAAAATAAAAAAAAAAAATGTTTGCAATTATGTGAATTATTAGCTGATCTTGGTCCATTTCAGATACGTGACAGATACTGATACCTTATAAGGTTCTTCTCTTATCTCTGTGACCTCTATTGGTATAGTTCTGAGATTGTTCAATAATAATAAATGGCCATTTATTGAGACTTCTTAAAGATCTGAAGATTTTCTTGGTATTAATTTACGTTGTAACAGAACTTGACCCACACATATGTGATTCACCTAAGAAATATAAATGTAAAAAAAAACTAAGCTTATTAAACATATAAATTGGTTGTGATTATCTGCTTTTACAAAGGTTCTTTAAATCTTCAGAAAATATTTTCCATAAAAAGTTTAAGTTGAAATTTGAGTTCTCAAAAATTCATTCTAACATTCCACTCTGTAGGTCCAAACCTAGCCAAGGAACCCTTGATTTAATGATTGGTTTATATAAAAGTAATAAAATTTAGCTAGTATTACAGATCTATAATGTTTTTCTCTTTCACTGACAATATTTACTGGCAGTACCTTACATTAAAAAGTATGTATATACAAGGTCAAATAATTAAGTTCATGAACTCATCCTAGAAAAAGTGTTACACACCTCATTGCTGAAGATCACTACATGACATTGAAGTACTGATATGAAGTACTCCCCTTGGGAATTTATGCACCAACACCACGTTATATAAATGTTATTACAGAATATATATGAAACCATATACAGGGTTTCCATAAAGTTCGTGTGCAATTTAAAATGGTTATAAATTTTTAAATTGCACACGAACTTTATGGAAACCCTATATAGTTTATATCTTAAAGATATTGTCACTTTCCTTAGACCATCATATTTCTCAGCTTGTGACAACATTGACCAAGTGGGGACACTGTGTACAACTTCATGGCTGGTTCTCACAGGTGCTGATTTCCAAATCTAAGCCCATATCTCAAAAAGCTACTAGATAATGATGTACTGGTAGAAGAATGTGATTAAAAGGGTAAATATATTTCTCTGTACTTCAAAAGCTGACAATTGCATCTCCTCACTCAACTTTCTCTCCCTTTGGTATAACTTGCTCAGCCTTCCTCTTGTTAGACATCTTCCCTTTACAATACCACTGCTGAGAGGGTACCCTCTCCTGTTCTAGGTGTACATAGATGGTTGTATGACCTAAATTGCTAAGGCTCATGCTACCTTCAGAAGAAGGGAAGGTTGGAGTACTGATGAGCCACACCCTGCCCCTCTCCTACCCCACCTATCTATACATTCTCAGTACCTACATGATATGGTGGGAAGTACATAGCATTTGGTCACTCCTTGCTTAAGGGGATAACCTGAGCCTCAGTTTTCATCCCTACATCTCCTTTGCTGGTTGACTATGAGGACGAACTAAAGAATAAATGGAAATTACTAAGCCTAATCCTTGGCATTCCATGACTGACTGCCATTCCATGCTCCAGTGGATACTCTTGTACCTTCTACTCAAGAGCCATCTCTAAAACAATGATTTTCAACTGGTGTGCCATGGCACACTGCCAGAGGATCTTAGATGTGCCATGAAAATTTTTAAAGCTCATTATTAAATTATTTTCAAAAGTTCAAAGCATAGTATTTTTTAAAAATTTTTTTTGATTGACATAATTTAAGTGTGCTTTGGAAGTTTAACTATAGTGTGCTGTGAGATTAAAAAAAAAAAAAAGACTGAAAAACACTGCTTTAAAGTGTTTTGTTAAACTGCTTGAATTCTCAAGCCTCCAGGAAACTGACTAATGGTTAACTGAGCAAGTTGTTCAGTGCCATGTGATAAATTGACAACCAAGTAGAAATCAACCTTCTCAGCCCCAGAACATCAGTTAAATGTTTCCCCATGTTTCCAGTCTTACTGGCATCCAAGTTACCTCCAGATCACAGGCACAGATGAGCTCTCTTTGCCAACAAAATGTGTTTGTGGACCTTTCATTCCAACCCACCAATGAGACAGCAAAGGGA